TATATATATAAGCTACTAAAAATGATGATAGAAAAAGATTTAAATGCTATTAGAAGATAAGAAAAACTACTGAAGGTAAGTTTTTAACTCAGGATATTACAATTTAACGTGATTTTATTTATTTTATTTTATTTTTTTTTATTTGCATGTAAAAAAAATTACAAATTTTTTCAATATCATTTTTATTAAGAAACAAAAAAGCAAGGCTATTTAAATCACACATTTTATTATGGAACAATGATTATAAAACTGTTTACAATGTTGTGAACATTGTTTAACAATGATTGTTTACAATGATTTTGAATTAATGTGAACAATGATTATAAAAAATATTACTCTAAAATAAAAGATTTTTTAATGTTGTTACATATATGTATCTTGGATACATCTATGTATCCTTGTTGATACATGAATTTATTTTTATATCTATTTTATTGGTTTTATTCTTTGTTTAGAATTTCAATACACTTTTCTTTAAATTCGCAGAAAAATTATAAGCTGATTTAAGATTTACAGGTCCAAATCCTTGATAGGCTTAAAAAAATTTAACAAAGTGAAAATGTTAATTTTATTTTGAATGATGATAATATGGAAAAAAATCCAGTAAGTTCATTTTAGAGATTCAATATTATTGAAAATATTTTAAAAGCAAGTTCAAATGCAAGAAAATCAAGGTAACTTCTAATGTTCGCTCACTCAGACAATAAAAATCTATATTCCAATTTTTATTATTGCTAAAGAGTGATTCCTGGGTGTGTAAAAATTTTAGTAAAATAATAATAATAATAATAATAATAATAATATTATATATATATATATATATATATATATATATATATACATATATATATATATATATAATATATATATATATATATATATATATATATATATATATATATATATATATATATATATATATATATATCCTGACAAGAAAGGTAAATGTGGTCCACATGTGGCCATAGTGATTTATAATGAAATAAAAGAGTTAAACTATATTTCAGTTGATGATTGATATTTATGCTGATGATCAGTGCGGTTCACATGTGGAAACATAATGTATCCACATAGTTATACTACTTAGTGTGGTATAATCTTTAAATAAAAACATGCTAAATTAGATGTGGCAATTGTATGGGCCATACATATAAAACACACAATCTTGCCTTATTTTGAATTTTAACTTCAAACCAATTGTAAACTACAATTCCATTCCAATCCATTGTAGTAAACTCCAGAATATTTCGTTATATCATGTTGTTTACAGTTTTGATAGTTCATAGTTGTAAATATGTTTGAGCGGTTTTGTAATGAATATATTTGAGAATTGTTATTCATAATAAACTTTCAATAAAAATTTATAAATCAGATTTACATTTAACAAATAAAAACTTGTTGTTATACTTATGTTATATTTATTCTACACAGAGTTAAACTTAACTAAAAGGAATTGTAATCAGAGTTATACTTAACGAAGATAAAAATAGAAGATCTTAACATGTTGTGTTTGCTACCAGATAACAATGTTAGATTTTAAAATGACTGGCAATATAAGCAATCATTCATTATTAATGATTCTTTTCTCTAGATTTTGTTTTTACATATATTTCATATAAAACTATCTTTAGCTACTGTTCGAAGACACTGTAAGATTACTAGATAAAGAATTTGAAGAAAATATTGCGTCTTTATTGCATGATTCATCAGTTTTGTTTTGTGTACAGAACTAGTACAAGTTGTAGTACCTATGTATTTACCTGTGATTAAAATTAAAAATAAAAGCAAAAAGTATGATTTTTCCCCATTTTTTCAAAGTTTTTTAATTGGTATTTCTATACAAATAAGTAAACATAAAGTATGATAAGTTATTTGTGAATAATTATAATAATAAAGTATTTATGAATAATTATTTGTAATTTCTAAATATAAATAGCGCAGTGAATATTATTATTTATAGTGGGCATAGTTACGCATTCTTACGCTTGTTGTTCGTTTTGTTTATTACGGTTCTGTATTCTGTAAAATACACTATTTCATAGTTTTTAAGTTGTTTCTAGACTTTTCGAAGCGCAGTTATATATTCCATGCAGTCTTTCGAGTAAAGTCAGCAAGCAAATTAGAGCTGATATATTTTTATTTTAAAGAAGAACTGATTTTGTTCATTGTTTAAAATAAAAATTTAAATAATCGTTTTTTTTTTAAGTTGTTTATATTTTTCTAATTTTTATAGCCTGTTTTTTCATTTTTTAGAAAAAGTTAAAACTAAAATGACTGGTAAAATATTTTTTTAGTACAATGTTCTTTTTTAAGAAAACTGTTTCAGTTTTGTTGTTAGACTTTTTAGAACATTTTAATATTGTTTTATTTTTTAAAATAAAACAATATTAAAATTATGAGGAGCTGATGGCTTTTTTTTGTAAACTCAGTTCATTTTCTTATTTATAGGTTAAGATTTTTTTTTTGTTGAAAGAATAATGAGAATAAAGTTTATTTATGTATTTAATATGAAAAATAAATAAAATAAGACTGTTATTTGTGGTCATGTAAGTATATATAAATAAGTTTGCGTTAATTTCAGTCTATTTTATACTTTTCTATATCTATACCTATATTTTCTCTTAGGAAAAATAATAAAGAATAGAATAATGAAAAAAAATTCTTCTAGAATTTGTCAAAAGAGTGCTGTGTTATGCTTCATTCTGAATTATATCTGAATATGTATTTATTAGAAATTTTTAATTTTGTTTTTAAATGGTTTCAACTTTTAGATAAATATATACTGACTGGCATAACTTTATTTTTGTTAACAATATTGTGCATTGTAGTTTGTGTTCTTTGTTACATTTAAAATAATTGATGCTAATAAATGTTGTTTTATAGTTGTTAAAAGTTTGCATATATGTTTATATTATGCTCAAAGTTAAAAAGTTTTTGATAAATACGTGTATGTGGTGATATATGTTATATAGTTGTTTTATAAATATGCTTATTTAAATGTGTTTTTATAATAGTATGAAATGTATTTTATCTAATGTGTGCATGATTGTTAAATAAGTTATTTTTATATGTTATGTAACATTAAAAAAATTGTGTTTTATAGTTAGTATATATGTTTATATAATATTGTTTCCATGATTTCAAAGTGGTGTGACTTGGCAAATGTGTAGAGCAAGATTTGTCAACCTTACCACCCAAGCGGTGTTACTGCTTTAGGTCTAAGTGTTGCCTAGCCTTCAATATAACTATTCTGAAAATGCATAACATTATCTTTAAAAATTTTTTGCATACAGTTGTTACCTTAGGCTTATCTTTATGTTGGTATCAGTTGTTTAAAATGATTAATAGGTAGTTTCATTACTAGAACTCACTGCTTTTATTTATTTACTGAAAGTCATTCAAAACATCATTTTGCTATAAATACATTTTGTTCATCATGAAATAACAATATTTAACAACTACTACTAAGGTATCACAACAGCTTATCTCTATCATATATATTGATTTTCGATTCACATATGATATTTTTCTTTGTATTTACTTAGTTGTTACATTTTTTTACTTCAGATTTATTATATGGTGTATTTATGTGGTATATCATTTTAAATTTTATGAATTTTTTAAAAATATCTACTGATAATTTCCAAATAAAGCCCAGTCAACATTTAAAGTTCAATGTTGCATATACCATTTTTAAGTAGTTTCTAGGCTTTTTTAAATGTTTTTCTTATTCAAGTGGTTTTACAAGCAAGGTCTGCAACCAAATTTGAGCTGAAAAGTTTTTCAGCTTTCGAGGAGAAATAATGTTGTTCAAGGAGAAATAATGTTGTTTAATTTATTAATTTGTGTAAATAGAGTAGTTTTAATAAATAAATGTTTGTTTGTTCTTGGTTTTTTACTTATTTGTTTTCGGATTCTTAAGAACTAGGCAACTTAGCGAAGCAAGATTTGTTTTATTTTTTAGTGCAATTAGAAAGAGCTGAAGTGCTTTTTAGTCACTTCAAATCAATTGTTTGTTTTTTCTAAATAAAAGGATTAATAATAATAAAAATTTTTAGACAGTCGAATTGTTACTGATTTGAGTAAGTTTAATTTTTTTTTTATTTTACATTCAATTTATTTTATATTAGATATATTTTATCTGTTTTACATAAAATATATATCTAATATAAAACTGACTGTAATTTGTTGACAGGTAAGTTTATATACATAAGTGTGCCTATATTTCAGTATATTTTATATTTCTCTGTATCTATATAAATATTATCTCAAAGAAAAATAAAAAGAGTAGAAAAAATTTGAATATAGATACATACATATATTACTTTAGATTGACATTGCTTTTTTTTATACAAGGTTCTGCATTTATTATTTTTGTGCACTAAGATTGTACCTGAAGATAAAAATAACTTTGAATTGTAGTCTAAATTCTTTGTTAAATTAAAAATAATGTAAATACATTTTGTTTTATTTTTTTAATGAAGGACTTCTTTATATAAACTTATAAAAAAATATGAATATCAACGAATCTTAATTTGAAATATAGTCTTTAATTAGAAAAGATCAGAGTTCGTAAAATTATTTTACGTCCATTTATTTATTTGTAACAGTAGTATAATCACTGGTAATATGTTTAATGATAACAGATGTATAATATTAGACTCGAAAAAGTTTTTAGTGTAAATGGTAATAGACGACTTGAAAAAATTGTTGTCAAATGAAAGAGCCTAATAAAATTAATTGTCGTTGAAATGTAAGAAATTCTGCTCGATGAACAGAAAACTTACTTGCCAGAATTCAGTATCAAGCGGTGTTTATGTCTATTAATTTGATTTTACATTAGACACTTTAGAATAAAGCAAAGTATGAATTTTACTATTTATAGTAACAATTGATAACAGTTTCAAATATAACTAATTTTAATATTTATATATATATATATATATATATATATATATATATATATATATATATATTTTTTTTGTAATCTCAAACATAATTTTGTTCTTTTTTTTTTTAGTTGCTTTTGTCATCATTAGATTATTTTCCTTAATGTTGAAAATGGTTTTAAATTTGTAAATTTGATGTGGAATTTACTGTATTAATCATTAGTCAACAGTTAAAGAGAAGCTGAATCTTAATTAAGCATTGCTGGAAATTAACTTTTAATTAAGGTAAAAATAAATTTGTTTATTGGTAGCATAATAAAACCAGTTACTGTTATTTATTGCATGTCTTTTTTACTTTTTTTAACATGCTGCTTTTGAAACACTTCCTCTCTCTCTATCTCTCTCTCTTAGATGAGACTTAAATGAGAGTTAGCACAGGGAGAATTGACTCATTTAATTACTGAGCTCTTGCGCATTTTTTATTACTACAATTGATAATGACCATTTATAAGGTATATTTTACGAGTTGCTTGCTATTTAAAGATATAATTCTTTAAATTGTTGAACTATAATTGTCCCTTGGTTATTCAAGTATTGTAATAAATAAAATCTTTTTAGTTTCAAGTATTTTACTTTAGGGATCGTCCATATATTACATAAAGCTAAATTAAACTTATAGACAAAAGACATATTTCAAAAACCATGTTTCTCTCATAGTTAACTACATTTTGCATATTCAAGAACTAGAGCAATTAATAGTTTGTTTTTCAAAATTGATAAACATCCTATTCAAGGTATGGTAGGTGAAAAGTGTTGCACAAAAAGTGTTATACTTTCTAATGTTCTTAATTTATAGTCTTTAGATTTTCATTTCGAAAATTTACTGTTAAAGGTTGTGAGCACATTTTGTATGTGTAACTTTATTTATTATTATTATTTTTTTCATTGTTTTTGATAAATATATCTGCCATTTAATATTGTTATAAAATGTGTTTACATGTGTTATATAAAGTCATATTTGTTTATAGTTGTATATATGTTTAAATTTTGTTGTTTCCATGTTTTCAAAGTGGTGCGACTTGGTATTTTGTTGAGCAAGTTTGATAACCTTTCCAGGCAAGCAGTGTACTTATAGCAGAGGTGTTACTTGGAAGCATTAAATGTCAAGCAGTGTTACTGCTTTAGAGCTAGGTTGTTTTGTCTAGTCTTTTTAAATTTTTCTGGAAACACATGTCTTTTAATATTTAACGTAGTGTGTATGAGAGAATATGTAATCTTAATCTTTAAATCTAGCATACTTTAATGTCCTAAATTTGAAATAACTGAATAACTTATATTGAATATAAAAACAAATATACTTTATTAAAGTTTAGCAAAATGATAAATATAGTTAATTCTAAATTGAGTTTTTAATTTTGCCTTTCATATTTTAATTTAGTTTGTTATTTTCACAGGATTTTATTGTTATGTGTTATTGTTGTAATGTTATTGCTGTGATGTTTTGTGTTGATAGACAGCTTGGCTTACTTTCCCGTTGGCGTCTATTGTTAAAATTGAATAATAGGTAGTTTCATTATTGGAACTTACTGCTTTTATTTATTTACTAAAAACCAAGACAGAATTTTGCTTAAAGTGCAATTTATATCTTAGTTTGATTTTTTTTTTTTAGTATTGTTACTCATTTTTTACTTCAAAACAAGTTTTATAGTTACATTTTCGATAAATGTTTATATTAACTGCTATTTCCAAATAAGTAACTATAAATAGGTAAATTGATTTTCAATTTTTATGTAGTGTTTTTTTTTTTTTTTTTTTTTTTTTTTTTTTTTTTTTTTTATAATTATGATATCATAATTCCATTATTTTTTAATTAGGACTTGCATTATGACGAAATTATAATGTTTATAAAAGAAAAACCTGATCTCCTTTTATTGTAAATTTTTGTTAGTTAAAAAGATATAAATATATGCAATTAGTTCAATTTTTTTTTATACTTTATGCCTAATAATTTGTTGAACTAATTTTAAGGGATCTTTGTAAACGAGGGGTGGTAACTTAAAACCTTGAAAAACATGGAGAATATTGTAGTTTTGCGCATTTGTCAAGTATCGAGTTACTTAAGTTTTATTTATGTGTTTAACTAATTGGTTAGCTTAGTCTGTATTTGCAACGCTTTTGAGGAAAAAAACATTCTTATATATGTAAATCATTGTTTTACATTTTATTATGTTGGTTAGAGGTCTTCATCAAAAACTTGATTACTCTTAATAAAAAAAATTCTACTCACCAGGCCACCGTTAAAGCAAGAAGAGGGGAGGAACCTCTTTATTAGTGTCAAATAATTTAGGAAAATTAAATTATAAGTAACAAAAGGAATTTTTAGTAAATGGTAGCAAAATAATGTTTACTAAAAATTAATGAAATAAAGAGGCCAAACAAATATAGAAATGGTCTGTTTTAAGCAGACTTGTCAAGACCCGGATCCGGTCAGCTTGGTATACAAATTTTTAGGTCTACTTATCTGTTACAATTTTAATTTTAGGTTTGTCATATAACGCATTAATGCAATATAAAAGATCAAAGTTTTCATATTTTTTTAAATTTCTTAGACACGTGTTTGACTGTATATTAAGTTTTTGTTTAAAACGTATTTGTACTTAGCTGCTTAGTAGTTCCTGTATAATATAAGTTAATTTCATCTTAATCCTAATAATTAATTAAAGTTCATGTTATAAAAATTATTTACAAGGATTTAGTTGATGCTTTCGTCAATTTAAAGCATGATGAAGTGTTATTAATGTCAGTAACTAAAAACGTAGTGTTGAACTTGGGAATTATTAGTGTCAGTAACTAAAAACGTATTGTGTTGAACTTGGGAATGTTAAGGAAAATGGTTCTTCCTTACACTGTTATGAACTATGTCAGTTGTAAATTACTCAAGTAATGTTAAGTAGTAATTGTTAATGTTAAGTACTAGTTGGTAAATTATTTTACCTCTTCATACTTTTTATGTTAATTTTACAGATAGATTAATTTTTTCAAGTTAAAGGCGTTTTTCTAAAAGGCTATTAGTTAAGGTTTTGCAACATTAAATTGTAGAAAACAACCATTATATATTAGTTACTTAACAGACCGACTATAAACCGTATTACAGGTTGCTTTTTGCTAGTCATAAATAAATCTTCTGACTTGTTTAAATATGATTTTTAAACAAGTCAGAAGATTTGTTTATGTATTTTTTATAACTTTCTTGTAGGAAAATAATGCGGCTTTTGTTCTTATTTAGTGTGGTTTTAATAGGATAAACATTAAAGCCACATATGAAACGCACTAACGCCATCCCATAAAGGAAAAACATATGGCTTAAATATGCTTACCACACGTGGACCACATGAAAAAAAAATTCGCGCAAAAATGAAGTGTGGCTTTTATATATCAGTATATATATATATATATATATATATATATATATATATATATATATATATATATATATATATATATATATATATATATATATATATATTTATATATATATATATATATATATATATATATATATATATATATATATATATATATATATATTAGTATATATATATATATATATATATATATATATATATATATATATATATATATATGTATATATATATATATATATATATATATATATATATATATATGTATATATATATATTTATATATATACATGTATATATATATATATACATATATATATATATATATATATATATATATATATATATATATATATATATATATATATATATATATATATATAGTATATATATATATATATATATATATACTAATATATATATATATATATACTAATATATATATATATACTAATATATATATATATATATATATATATATATATATATATATATATATATATATATACATGTATATATATATATATATATATATATAAATATATATATATATATATATATATATATATATATATATATATATATATATATTTATATTTATATATATTGATATATATTAGTACTTTTAAAAATTTGTAAAAAAAAAGGGATTGATTTGCTCACAATATGTTGTGATTTTATATCGTATTTAGATTTAGTTCAATTTTTAATCATGCTTCTAATTTATTTTAATAATTTTTAAGGTTATTCAAATGAGGCGAATGGGAAAAGCGACTCCACGGAAAGCATTTTAAAATATTCTGTTATCATGGAACACAGGCATTATTTAACTCCTTGTTATAAATGCATAAAAGAATGTTTGTAGCGAGTTTGTAGCTATTTCATCTTATATATTACTGAAATATTTTTGTTAACAGAAAATAGCAGAATGTGAAACAGTAATACGTTACTCATTTTCTCTTATTCATTATTGCAAATATATTTGCGGTCATTTTTTATGTATGACTTTCCAAAACTAATAACAAGTATTTTAATATAAATTTTTATTGTGGGTGTCTTTTAATATGTTTACTTTTTGGAAATCAATTTCTCTGTCAATCATACAGCATATTTTAAAAAACTAAAAATAAATTCGATTCAAAAGCAAAGTTTCTTCACTTTGCCTTTGAATTGAAATGTTTATTTTTGAATTAAAATGTTTACTTTTGAATTGAAATGTTTATTTTTGGTTTTCTAAAATATGCTCTATAATTGACAGACAATTTTGTGATATTATGAATTTGTTAATATTCTTTCTTTAGATACTACTGTTGGTGACAAAATTAGTTATGATGCAAGCAAATTGAGGATGCCATTGGCGACATATTTAAACGACCCCAAGAAATAATATTTTTGCTAGATTGTATTTATATATTAATATTGTCAAAAATATTATTCGTTTTGTTTTTTTGTAATGTTTTGTGTCAATACTGGTATTTAAGTATTTATGAAGTATCCTTATTATTATTCTAGTTAGGGTTTAATGCTAAAAACACGTGTATATTAAATTTAGGCTTTGTGGAAAAAAAAAGACTTTATTTTTTATAATTTTATTCAGCTTATTCTCATACCGACTCCATTTCTAGCAATTATAAAAAATGGAGTCTTGAGACTCCACTTTTTATTGCTGTTAGAAAAGGAGTCGGTATGAGAATATATAATAAGCTGAATAAAATTAAACACTGAATGAACGGACAAAATTTAGACGTCCGTAAGACGTCCAAAAGCGTCTATTGTGAACCTCCGAACCGACTGTTTTGGACGTTCTTGGACGTACTTTATAGACGTCCAGTGCACGTCTACGGACGTCCTTCTAGACGTCTGACCAAACCATTTTGGACATCCGTGGACGTACTATGGACGTCGTGTATCTATTGGGAAAACGTACTATCTTGGACTTAGACGAATGGACCTAAACGGTACGTACTATGGACGTACAAGGACGTACTTATTGGGAGTTGATGCTCTACTTCTTTCTTGTTTTGGATTGATTGGTTGTTGTTATCGTTTAGTACCAATAGGTAGTTTTAAAATATAATTTTAAAGTTCTAATATTTTACCAAAGAGTGAAACTAAAAAGTTTAAAAAAAAAAGAAAATTTTTAAAGTTTGAAGAAATTTTTTCAAACTTCAAAATAAGTTTGCAAAAAAAAAAATCTTTAAAAAAAAAAAATTTACAAAAATATATATTTATAAATATTTAAATATTTATTTATTTATTTGAAAACAACAGAAGGACCCAAAGGCCACTAACACTGAGTATGCATTTTTTTTACTGAAATATTAAATTGTATCAAGTTCTGGACAAGATACAACAAAATTGTATTAACTTGAACAAAGCAGTACAGCAAGACGTTTCTTAAACTTCAAGACAGACGATGCAGACACCACATCCTCCGATAATCTATTCCTCACATTAACAATTCGATTAGAAAAGAAACACTTTGTGCTGTTTAAACTACAATGGTGTTTGTACAGTTTAAAGTTATGACCTCGATTATTCAAGTAAGAATTGAGAATAAGAATGTTTGATATATATAATTAAAAGAGATATTGAATATAAGAAAGTTTGAAGACTTAAATTCATCTATTTACATTTTTTATTCAAAATTAAAACAGACAAACAAAAACAACCAGAAAGATATATCAAAAAATAAAATTCTTTTAAAAAAAAAAAGGAAAATGTATGTATTGTTTAATATTAAATTTCAATAAATTGAAAAAAGAGTGTATGCACGGTGGGAAATGAGCTAGCGATTAGCGAGCGACTAGCTAGCTTTATAGCGATTTTCAAACGATTTTTTTTTTCCTTATTTTATTTTTTCCTGATGTCTTTATCATCTTTAAAAATTCGATTTTTAGAATTGAGTCTATTATAAATATAAGAATAATTGAACTTTAAATATTGCGATTTTGAAGCAATGTGTCGCTAGCTACATATCGTAGCGTTGTAGCTAGCTTCAAATATCTACAAATCTATAGCTGGTTGATAGCTACATATCAAAATTTTTTTGACAGAGATTTTTTTACAATATAACGCCAGCTAAAATAGCCAGTGGGTCTTTATATTTTTAAGCTAGCTTTCCTCGTAGCCAAATTGCTGTCTTTATCTTTACAAATATCGATAGCTTCTCGCTAACATAAAAAAGTTAGCGTTTCTCGTGGCCGATTCGCTCTCTTTATCGTTACGATTATAGATAGCTATTCGCTAGTCGATTTCCCACCGGATGTATTGTTTAATTTTAAAATTAAAAAAATCTAAATTTATTAAGTGTTTTTTTTTATATCTCTTTTAAAAATTGATTTTATTTTTAATCAATAGATTTGATTTTATTTATATTTTCGTCAAGAACTGAGTTCCACAAGCGAGGTCCCCGACTTGTAATTGAGAAGCCAGATTTTTTAGTGACGTAAATGGAATGTAGTAAATACCTATTAAGTGTCTTGTTTCATATTTATGATTAATTAGAGAAAAATTTTTATAAAAGAAATGTCTTGTACATAATCCCTAGAGTCTAACTTTATTTGGCTTTTCCAATTTAAATGTTTAATCGAAAATTATTCCAAGTATTGGACTAATTTTCGATTAAACAAAATAATATAATTAAAATATAAGCAAAAATAATATAATTAAGCATTTTTGAGGACAAATAAATATCATTTATATAAATTAAAAACAGCAAAGGTCCAAGTATTGATCCTTGTAAAACACCACAACTTATTGATTCAAATCGTGTGTTGCATGTTAAATCCTATGGTACTCCAATTACATTGCAACCATATAGAGTGAACTAGTCCATAATTGCGTAGTTTATAGATAAGAATCTTGTTATTGACAGTAAAAAGTGCTTTAGATAAATCTAGAAAAAATAAGAGTGTGTAACAATTGTTTTCAAAACCATTCAAAATTTAATTTGAAAAATCAATTATTGCATGTTACGTAGAATGGTTTTTGCGAAAACTGTTTATAAAAAAAAATGTTATTTTTTTCATGAAAATTACACAGCAAGTATTTTGGAAAAACAGGAAAGTATGGAAATCGGTGTATAGTTAGATTTTATTGAGTCATCGCTGTTTTTGTATATCGGCAAATTGCAAATATTCACTCGGGATTTTTTACTCGGGTGGATTTTTTCCTAGAATCATAGAATTAATGATAATTTTTTTAGTCGCTTTATTAGTTATTTTGATGCACAACGACACGCAATCTATTTCATTTACATTGAGGTCATTACGCAATTTAAAGTTAAAAGATTTGCAAACTAAGATACTTATACCACCAACAACGTGGGTTTGACGCTGTTGGTGAACCGATACGTAGTAGTTAGTTCATAATTAATATTTTTTTTATCAGCCACGTTTCCGTGAGAATAAGTATTTTAAAATCTTGCTTTAGATCACGCAATAATATACTAGATTAATAACATTTTTATTGATACTTTGAAACTTTAGATTCAAAATTGAAGAACTTTTTTTGACATGTGAGTCTGAATGATACTCACTTTCAAAATTTTTTTGATTGAAATCATTATTACTTTTATCCTCAGTATCTTGTACCGTATCATCATCACTCTTATTCTTAGTATCTTGTATCGTATCATCGTCACTCGTATCGTATCTCGTATCATATCATCATTACTCGTATCCTCAATATCTCGTATTGCATCATCATCGTTCTTATCCTCAGTATTGAAATTATGCAAAAAATTGTCATCCATTTAAAAAAAAGTTTAATATAATAATCATGAAAATAAGATATTAAAATATTAGGTTGTTAAGTTTTTTCTTTCCTTTGTTTATATATAACCCAATTGCGTATATTAGTTTATCGTATAAAATGCTCACGAATTTTCCTGTTGCTCGTTCCATTTTCATCTGTTCTCTTAAAGCATTTAAGTCTAATGCCAGCAAACTTTATTAACGAGAGTTTTATGCCCTTTTTTCAGAAATAAAAAAATACAAAAACAAATAAAAAAAAACTATTAAGCGACTGAAAGTTTGACCATTCATAGAAAATAGTTATTTTAGTTTAAAATAACTGTTTTCTTTGAATGGTCATAGAAAATAGTTATTTTAAATTAAAATTTTGTTTTGTATTAAAATCTTATACCATCTTGTTCAGAAAAAAATTCTTTACAATATCAATATAAAATTTTTCAAAATGTTTATTTAATAAAAAAGTATGAGCAAAAGAATAAACATTGTTATAACTATTTCATGTTATCCTCTATTTCATTCTACCCGCTTTAACTCTATACTTTAAAAGATAAAAATATGAAATTATGATAGGATAACTAATCTTGGCAAATATTTTTAAAAACTAATCCTAAACAGTTTTGTAATAAACATTTTGCGGATCTTTCCCAGTGGTCAATGGACGTAAAAAGACGTCTTTCAGAAGTTTCGAACGTCTTTGATGATATAAAACTTGTCCAGTTGCGTTGAACCAAATTTGGTTTGGCGCTTTGTTTGTTGAGGAGTAATTTTACATATTTGACATTCATGTTATTTGAATGTCAAATTTGTAATTTGACATTCAAATAACAACAAATTACGTAATTATTAATATAATTAAAATATAAAATACTAATATTTTTTTTAATAGTTGAAAATGTCAAAAAAATAACTAAATAATTGGTTTTGAATATCGAGTATCGTCTGGTATTAATACAATGCTATAAAGTATCGATATCACTCGATACAGCTATTGAAAGTGTTGGTTTTTTTTAAAACTATTTTGGTACCGAAGGCATCGTACGGTCTTGCTGCAAAATTCTTTGCAAGAATTCGTATTTTATTTTTATAAACATGTCATTTCAAGAGTTTACAATCAACACTACCGTTTTGGAGCATTTCTTAAAGTGCAAAGTAAACAAAACTGCTAAATGCAAAACCTTGATTGCTATTTTAAATGCAAAACCTTGATTGCTATTTTAAATGCAAAACCTTGATTGCTATTTTAAATGCAAAACCTTCATTGCTATTTTAAATGCAAAACCTTCATTGCTATTTTAAATGCAAAACCTTCATTGCTATTTTAAATGCAAAACCTTGGTTGCTATTTTAAATGCAAAACCTTGATTGCTATTTTAAATGCAAAACCTTGATTGCTATTTTAACAATCAAAGGAGGCTGTACAAGTTTGAGGCATTTAAAAATAAAGTATAAAATGAAATTGCAATTCATACTTGCTACAAAAAAATTTCAAATTTCATTCCAAAAAGAGATCTGAAGTTTAGTACAAGCAAAAGATAGCATTGCTACTATACTATAAGATCACATCAAAATAAATTGACTTTCATTTTACACTCTTGCTAAAAGTAAGAGACAACGAAAATTTGCCTAGCCGAAGGACATAAATACCTTCTAGTTAAATTGCTAAACAAACATTAAAGCTCAATTGATTGGTGAATTAAAGACATGAAGGCTAACAATATAAAATTAGTTTAACTATTGATGAATACATTTAATTAAAAAGTGTTATTATTTGAATTTTTTTTTTGGTTTAAGCGTCCCAAGAAGACCAAACAGCCTTGTAAGAGAGCACTGCGGAAGAGCATTTAATTAAGAAGTTTACGCCTATTTCCTAACCAATAGAGCAAAATATGTCTAAGCACGTTTCGAACCCCGGCTTCCTTGCTTATAAAGCAACCACTCTAACCACTGCGCCACGGTTGTAACAATATTGTGGTTAAGGGTCACAAAAACGGAAGTCTTTATAATTCTAGACTTGTGGTAGTAAAAGTTTAAGCGAACTTAAAATAATGATACTGTTAGTGTAATTACAGATGGTGTATCTGTAATAGTTTAAAATTTGTCACTTAATCAGGCAATATCATCGCAAATGACATGTCCATACAATTCATGTTGAAGTAAGGTGAAGAGCTAGCCTGCATTAAATTTGAAAATAGTTCAGCTTCCAATAACAATATTAAATTTTTATTGTATTATTTTTTTTTACTAAAAACTTTTTTTTTATCAACATCTTTGCTTCCAACAAGTCTGCAAGTAACCACTATTAGAATTGAAAGTAACTGGAAGAGAAAATATAAAGTTTATAGAGCAAGATAAAGATTGACAGACGACTTAAAGAATTGCAAATTATATAAATCAGGAAAGAAGCGAATTCCAAAGAACTGGTGTTTAACAAAAAAATCTAGACGAATAAGAGTTTTTGGAGTACTTTAGAACAGTCACAGTAATAGGATAAAACTTAATTGAATGACAAGTAACACGAGAACGTATTTTAGTAGATGGGACAAGAGTCTCAACTCTTTAGAGCAATGTTCATTATAATATTTGTAGAAAAGAGAAAGAGAAGCAAAATTGCGACAATGTAATAATTGTTGGAGGTTGGCTGCAAGAGCAGGTTCAACTATGTTTACAATGCGTTTTTGCAACTTATTTAAAAGAGAAAGGAAATCATTAGAAGATCCGCCCTAGATATGGCAACAGTATTCCATACAAGACAGGATTCAAGATTTATAGATATAAAGAATAGTATCCGAAGTAAGAAAGTGTTGAGCACTATAAAGAGATGCAACGTTAGCAGATGCCAACTTTGCACTCTATTTAATGGTTTTCATGACAGATCGGAATTAAGAATTTATCCTAGAAGATGAAGGGTAGATGACTTAAGTACATAACTGTTCATAAATAAAGGAAGATCTAAGTTATTGCAATAACAAATGGATAAAAAAATTGGGTAATATCTGAATTAAATTTCATCAGCCACTGTGAGCCCCATGTAAATTAAAAAGAGTATAAGGACAAGGACTGAAACTTTAAGGAACCCCTGAGGTTACAGTATATGAAGAAAAGTGTTGTCCATAATTGACAACTTTTATACCGCGATTGGTAAGAAAGGATTTAATAACCTCAAAGATGTTAACAAATACATTGTCAGAAGAAACCTTAAAAAGAAGACCAGCATGCTAAACTTTATCAAAAGCTTAAGAAATGCCAAGAGCAATAGCATTATTTTCTCCACCAATATCTAATGCACAATAAAAGTTATTCGTTATTACTGTTAGCAAATCAGCTGTAGAACAAGAAGGTTGAAATCCATATCGATGATCAGAAATTTTGTTATTAGATTCAAGATGAGAGATTAAGTGCTTGTTAATTAAAGACTCAAAAACCTTGCTTATGATTGAAAGAAGACTTATCGGACGGTAGTTAGACGATTTAGATCCTCTACAAAATTTTTTAAAATAGGGATAACAAATCCCGCTTTTCAGCGTGCTGGAAAATAAGACTCTGATAAGCACTTATTAAATAGTATTGAAAGTATGGACGACAGCTCCGGAGAACACTTCTGTAAGAGTATAAAAGGTATGTTGTCCGGACCACAAGGTGCGGAAGAGTCCGAGCTGGAAATCACTTTAGATACTGAGGCTGGAGAAATACGAATGTCAAGCAATGGATCAACCTGTTTATTGGCGTATACCACGTAGAATGCAACTAGTGGAATCAAAAGACGATAATGCTGAAAAGTTCTTTGAAAATAATTCAGCTATGTCTTTAGATGAGATGAAAAATTTTGAACCATACAAAAGAGGTGGAATAACAGATTTTATCTTATTATTGATACCGTTAAACTTTCTCCAGAAGTCACAAGATCGAAGTTTTTTAGATGAAATCCGAGATTTCATGACCTGTAAAATGCGGCCTTTTTCGTTAGACAAAACCTTTTTACAATGGTTTCTAGCAGTAAACAGACGTCTAGTAGTAAACAGACGTCTTTTTTCTGGAGAATTATTTTGCTGATAGATATGAAAGTAATGATTTCGATTAGAAATTGGACAATGTGAGGAAAACTATGGAGAAGAGTGAGGCTTGACTTAGAATTTTCGAGAGGAAATAAAAGATTTTATGTGAGTTTGAATTCAACATCTCAAACTGGAAACAATGAAGTAAAAATACATCTGCGCTAGTCTAATAGATGAAGTAGAGATGCGCGGCTGGTCAAAAAATAGAATTTACCTCTTAAGTCTTTGCCTAAGAGGCCTTCTACATAACAGTAGCCGGTTGCGTTTAACATCTGCCAAAGTTGAGTATATTTATCGAGACACCATCTATAGCCTTTTACTTAACCCTAACAGCCTTAAAACAGAAGTTGTTTTATATCAGAGTTGGATTCTTCTAGCCTTTGCCTAAAAAAGCGTATCCTACAAGGCAGCAGATGATGAAGCAGGTTGTACTGGGTTACGTGTTACCACTAGCAGAATAACCTGACTTGACTAGGTATTTTATTTCTACCACCTTAGAGAATAGTAAACCTATTGATTTTTTTTTCTGAGAGGTTGGGGGTAGGGATTTTGCCAGAACGTTTGACACAGTGCCGCATAAAATATTGTTGCTTAAAATGACAGCTTATAAAAGATTTGGTATCACAATTTAATGGATTGAAGCCTTTTTAAAAGAGTTGTGATAGACAAAAAAGTATCTTCTTAGGCAGAAATTACTACTAATGTGCCACAGGGGTTGGTAATTATTATTTTTAATTGTGTGGTCATACACTTTGGATAAAATAACAAAAAGATACCTCTTTATATAAAAAAATCAAATAATAAAATGCATAGGCAAAACCAAGCGATTGTCAAATAATGGGTGGGATTAGAAAAAGTTTGTTTAAATATTAAACTCCTGAGATTTTTTTTTGTTAGAGTTTACGGTACCAGTTTGGTCACCAATTGAAACAGGTAAAATTAATTTATTAGAAAAAATGTAACATTGCGCAACTCGTTATATACTCACTATCATTCAAGATAATCAACAATGAGAATCCTCTAAAATCTCCCTTTTGTTGATTACCTCAACAAAAAGGAGACAAAGAGAAGTCAAGTTTCAACTTTTTAAATACTTTAAAGGTTTTAACAATTTTTGAAAAAAAGAAACAATCGAAAAAATTTTAAATATATTTCAAAGATGTCACTAAGTAAGCGTGTCATGAAAAAATTTTATTTATTAGATTAGCAAATTTATGGAATAGCTTGCTAATCAAGTAGGTTAATTAAAGACTTTCACAGCGTGCGGTTTTAATGTATGACTTTTTTACAGGGGACAAATGAATAAAATGGCGGCTTTGTTTAGCTAATTATAAAAGGTTTTTTGTTGTTTTAGATTTTGTAAATGACTTTGATAGTCAAAATTTGAAAAAACTATTATTACAAAAATATTAACAATATAAAGTGGTTTTATACTTCATATATATGTTGCAATAACGTTGGTACAAAAAAAGGAAATGGGGCATAAATAAAGTATTATTAAATAATAATTTGTTTTAGTTCAATCTTCTTAACTTTCATAAATTGGTCGGACGGAATAACGTTATGAAGATTGGAGTTCAGATATAGGTAACATCTATAATCTATAACTTATATAAGTAAAACATTATGTTATTCATAAAAGTTTATGTAAAAAATGAAAAATTGAATTCAAACAGATTAATATAATCTGTTATTAATCATTCACGAACCAAAACCTTCCGATAGATATAAATAGAATGATATACAATAAAACTAGATATTGCTAACAAACCTAATCTTCAAGAAACTCCTCTACTCTTTCCTATCATCTCAAAGGTTTCGTAAAAAATAATTTTAAAATATCTTGTCTTAATATAATAGACAAAATAAGGACAAAAATAATTTAGTTTTATTATTTTTTTCATTATAAAAAAATAAACCATTAAATAAAGGACTAGAAGAAGATAATGAAGAAAGATACTAGAAAAATAAAATTAGAGTCTACAAAAATAAAAGTTCTCCCAAAATTTAATAATCAATTATTATTAAAAGCAAAAAGTAAATCTTTATCAATAAAGTTATTAAAACCTATTTCATTAATCAAAAATAATCCGTTATAATGAAAATACCTTTTATCTAACAATGTTTTGATGTTACTAGTCCATATTTACTATTGTGTATTAAGATTATAAAGCCACTGGTAATTGAGCTATAGATAAAATAACTAAATTATTTTATTTTTAATAACTTGTATTCTTGTGTTGGTTGTTATGGCCCATGCTTTATCAGTTTCAAAATGCACAATTAATATTTTTTGTTGCATAGATAGTATTTTGTGCCATTGTATGACAATCTTGTACTTCAACCAGATTATCCTATTTATCAAAAAAGAATTTGCAAAATATTTGTCAGTAATGGACGTTGTTTAACTTAAATGACTATAGACTGTGCACAATTTCAAAACGTTCAACACAATTTCAAACTGCAAATTTAATTTCAGCACTCTTGAGTTTCCACACTATAATAATACACAAACTGAATAAGTATTATGATATTTGATGCATAATGGTATTTCAGCACATGGAAGTTGTATTTTTTTAACAATATTTACATATCTATATTATTTTATACCAGATAGTGAGAACTATCCGGTAACTAGCGGTACATTAAGCTTTTGAATTTTTTCCAGAATACACACAACAAGAATTTCGACTCGAGTTGTTTAGCCATGAGTCTGAATTTTTCTAAATTTTGTTATAATCTATATATTTAATAGGATCAGTTATGTATATTTTATCAATGGTAATATTTATTTCAGTTAAATCTGTATATGTTGTATATGTTGCTGAATATCATTGTAAATAATTTGAAAGTATAGAAAATTGTTTTCTTTGCTTGAACACATTTCTTGTTATTATTTATATAGCAATTTTAGTAAAAAATTGTTTTTAGTAGATTTTGTGGCAGTATAATATTTTTTTCCGTTATGAAAATAGTATTACTTCTCACAGTAAACTTTTTGTGATCTGGAGAAGTTAGTATTATAAGTTTAGTTTTCTTTAATATAATAAAAACACATTTTTATAAAGAAAAAGCATCGAAAAGAAGGCATTTTTATAAAGGGATAGTAGAGATAATGATGTAGATTTTGCACGTGAAGATAAAACATTGTAACAATGCAATTCAAAAGTTTGTTTCCTTCATTTTTGACTTGATATTTTATTTTTATAACATCTCTCTGGAATTTCTAATTTTCTAGGTTTGTGACAATAACTGTTTTGTGTTCATTTTTTTAAAAGCAAGGCGTACTGATATAAGTTTAATTTGGTTACACATAGAAAATAGGCCTTTTACTTTGACAATATCATTTTTGAACTCATGATAATTTTTCCTTTGCTTCATAAATGTTTTTAATAAATAATAACAATAAAAGAACATATCAACATTTTTTGAAACCAATAATTCAAAAATAACATTATTAAAATCAGCAATTCAAAATAAAATATCGGTGGAACCTTATTTTTAAATAAAGCTACAGCAAGAAGAATTTTTTTTCATAAGATTTTTATAACTAACAAGCAACGTGAACATCAGGTGAACTAAAATCCGTTTTAAAAGTCACAGTTTTTCTGGCTGTCTGAAACTGCTTATTCTTATAATCAAAGTAAAATTTTTTTTAAAAAATGAAGTGATAGAATGATACATTGAGTCTTTTCCGATTAAAGAGATAGTTAAAGGCGGGATGCTTGTAGAATCCAAGAAAACATCGACTATAAAACGTCGTTATGCCTTTTATTTTGGTTTTTATGCACGGAAAGGATACTATTTAAATTTATATAATCTGATCCGCAACTCGTGTAAGGTGCAACTTGAAGATGAGCAATGGTCTGAAAATCATTTTATAAAGTAGTTTTTTATTTAAAACTATCGATTATATCTTTATAATTAAAAAAAACATTCTCTTAACAACTGAGATTGGTTTTGTTTATATGCATTATCCCCTATAAAGATGGCGTCGAAATCTCATATGCCGAAACCACCCCTTATGAAAGTCCCTAATGCACAATCGTGCTTACTAAAACTAATAAAATACTATATTTTAAAAGTTCGTTTTTAACTCAATTGCAATATCTTAACTTAATCTAAACATGGCCTTATGGACCAGCTAACTCTTTTTTTTATCCCCGTTTAAACGCTTTTGTGATAAAATTTAAAGCACTATTTTTAGTTAAGCATATAAATCATTAGTTATTTAGTAATATAAAAATAATATAACATAAATATTTAAATTTTAAATTAAAAAATTATGTAATATAAAACATCTTTTTAGGCTTTAGAACAAAAAACTTTTTAGGTTTTAGAAAAAAAAACTGTAGAGCTGATTATCTTTACAGTTTACAAAAAACGTAAAATGAATTTAAGTACCTTACTACCCGATCCGTCTACCGGAGGAGGAGGAGGAGGGGGGGCGAGTGGTTAAAAGCATACGTGCTAACATATATTAAAAATACATATTTTGTGCGTATTTTCTTTTTAGTGTTTATACTCTATACTAGTGTTAAACTTTTTAATCGACTTTCTTGTCAGGCTGAAACAAAAGTATTAGAACTTGGTCGCCAAGTTATTAGGAGTGCCAAAAGACGAATAAAATGTTTATTAAAGCGCTACCATATCATAAAAAAATATTTTATGTGTGTTTTTTCTAGAACCTATACTCTATATTAGTCTTAAACTCTTTTATTAGCCTTGTTGTCAGACAACAACAAAATATTAGAACCAACCATTGACCTTCCAAAAATTTTTATATTGATTTTTATAAGACATTTTATTGAAATTTTAAAATCCTTGAAAGCAATAACATTGTTTGCAAAGAAAATATTGTCTTGAATTCAATAAAATAATATCAACGGTTTTCACATTAATGGATTATTAAGTTTAAAGTAGAAAGCTGTTACTTTTCAACTTTAAAAAGTCTACCCAGTTATTTATTTATAACTTTTTTTGCTTCTATTTACTTTTAAATATATTTAAGAATAATTGTAAAATAGTTTAACAAATTATTAAAAAAATTTTGTATAGAAAAACGTTATAACACTATAAACAGACAGTTACCACATAAAAAACAAATAAAATTAGCTATTTTATTTGTTGTAATATGGCAATTTTCAGCTTTTTTTTGTTGTATGACAAATTATTTTTACTTATAATTGCTTCTCTTTTAAAATTTTTTTGCATAATAATCAAACATGCGGTATCATAATCCAACATCTTGTATCATAACCCAACATGTTGTGTCATAATCCAACATGTTATATCATAATCCAACATTTTTTATCATAATTCAACATGTTGTATCATAATCGGGCATGTTGAATCATAATCCAACATGTTGTATAAATACACCATATGGTAACTGTCTCTTTATAGTGTTATAAGGTTTTTTCAATAAATTTTTTTTTATAATTTGTACACAACATTAAAATTACATTTTAAAAAGTATATTATTATTGTTTGATCATATTGGTTATTTACTTTGAAACCAAAATATTTAGGTACGAGCGTATCTGGCTTTAACGGAACCTATTTTAAAGTAAAAATCTGTGACAAACTTTTTCACAGCGTGCTTGGCGTAGGTGTCGTAAGGATAAGTTTTGTTACCTTAGTTTTTAGAATCTTATATCAACTTAGACTTTATTTTAAAAGTAGAAGGTTTAAAGTTTGTTTTATGGTTTTTTTTTTTTTTGCAGTTACTAGCGTTTTTAATAATTTTATTGGATTTAAAAACTTCGTTGCTGTTGTGAAAGTGTATTGATATTGACATGTTGATTTATTTTTGTAATATGTTCATTTAATTTTCTACATCTATTTTCCACGTACCTGCCAAATTTAAAAATAATTACACTCTCATACTCTATTTTTGCACTCCCTGGAGGTACCCAATATTACGTTTTTTATCGTGGCTCGTGGAGTGCGTGTGTCACGGTAATGAGTATTTAGTATTATTGAATATTGAATTTAAAAATATATTGAGTTTTATATCATTTTCTATAAAGCTGTTGTGCAATAATCATTTGTTAAAAAATAGAATTTTGTTTTACTAGTATTAATATCAATTTCCATCTAATTTATAAAGTTACCTTACGATACTTTATAAATTAGGTGGAAATTGGTTTAAGCCATTTAATGATAATATCTATATTTATACCTAAAATACTAGTAGAAAAGGCTTATAAACTAGTTAAGTGGAGATTATTAACTATATATTTTTAATGTACATACATTTAAAATAAATTAATATGTCCACTTAATTGGTACATGTTATTTTATGAACCTATTACCAGATATGTTACTTTATGAACTTATCAAGTAGAAGTTATTAATAACATACTTTTAATGTATTTTATTAAATATTTTAAGAAGTTATTTTTTTATCATGTACATTCAAGCATTTTTTTAAACATAGTTAGTGGTTGTGATTAGTAGTTGACCTAAGTGAATGATTATAGCTTTTTTATTTAGTGAATCATGGGCCCTAAAAAGAGTAGACGTTTATCTTCTGGTGAAGCCGAAAGTTATTTTACTTATAACTTTGAATTGCCTGCTCAATTAAACGTTGAATGTAAGAATGGACATGTACTGTATATATTTACAACCAACAGCAAATCGTTTAAAAAAACTGAAGAACTGGTCAATAAGCTTTTTAACCTTAAAATTTGTCAAAATCAGGTTGTGCATCTAGTGAATACATCTAAGTTATATGCACGCATTTTTTTGAGAAATTCAAATTTTTTCATTGATATATGCAACAAGGTTTTTGCAGGCCAAACAACAACATTAGCTAAAACACAATCCTTGCAGTCAACGGCAAGTTTAATTAACACTGTTTCGGGTTCTTCATTATCATCTTCTCAACACAACACTGTTTTATCTGTAGTAAATAGTGATCACTAATCATCTTCTATATCTGATCCTACTTTAATGACCACTTCTCAGAAACCGCAACTATCCAGATTGAGAGCCGATTAGTTGAGCCCTAGAAAAAAAAAATAATGAGAAAGAGATTAACCAATTTAGCAAATGTAGTTTCTACAAAAAGAAAGCATAGAGAGGATTTAAAAATGTTAAGAGATAAGGCAAATACAAAGCCATGCAGAATTAAATATTTAAATCAGGTTATTCGCAAGGAGAAAACTATACTTCAGCTTCGGAAAAAAATAAATGAAAAATATTTAAATTTACAGTTAAAGAAAGGGTGTTCATGTTAATGTTGTGGACTTGACAACCGAATCAGTATGCATAGTTGTAGCAATTGATCAACTTCCTGGAGGTGCTGCTTTTGATTATCAGAATCACCTTACAAAGTCTATTGATAATCTTGCCAAGTTATATAGTGACTTTTACCAGCTACAATACCCTGATGTACGAAACACTATTATTGGCAATATAACTAATACAATTAGTGACAGAGTTACAACAAACCATGCAACAATCATAAAGTTAAACCTTATTTGGCAGAAATCATTAAATGAACTAAATTTTCATCTTCACCTCTTGGACGCAATGATCAATGCTTGCATGTCTTCACTTAAAGCATTAGAGGCTTCCAAAGGAAAACTGTTTGGAAAAGACTGCATTGCAACAAATATTGTTTTACAGCTAAATAAACTTCGCTACAAAGATGGTATAATCTTAATCTTACTCTTTTACTTTAGTTCAATTTTTTTGAATTATGAGTTTTTTTATCTAAAACAGATTTTACATGTAGCATAAAAATGTTTTTTATTTCACATGCTTCTTGCCATCTTTAAAACAATATACCATATGTTATTTAAAGATAACCCAAAAGGTTTTGTAGCCTTTTTGGACCAACACAAGCTGCCCAGAGGACTGTTACCACGCTACATAGGGAACAGACTCCAATTTCTTTTTCACACGTGTGGTTTTTTGTTTCATCACTATGCAATATTTAAGACGTTTCTGTTTTCTGGCTTGGCATTATGAAGAGAAATAATATATTTACATCTGAAACAGGTGAATCTTATATAAGATTGTTTACATTTTTGTACACGTTCAGTTCTTCTATTGATAGGGAGGCTTGCAATAATAAAGCTAATGTATAAAGTTTTTAAAACCAATAGTTATGACACTTGCAGGAATAGATAGGGGATTGTAGACTATCAGAGGCCAATATTATAATTTATTATTCAACGACTTTTTTATTTCAGGTATCCGTGATTTGTGTGTCGTAGCTTTAATTGGAAAGCTACTGACTGGTCCTTAGATAAAAAAACTTTGTTGTATATGGTCAGGGACTTGACTACATATCTGGCATTCATGTAGTCAAAGATGTTCAAAATGCTCTTATCGAGAGCAGCAAGAATCCTCTCTATCTAAATAAAAAAAAATAGATTTTTTCGGAAATGGTATTAAAAATACAGTCTTTGATTCAATAATCCGCTTTTGCCTAGTAACTGATGAAATAAGTAAAACATTAGCTGACTGTCTGAATACTTTTGTTAGTGTTATTGACAGACAGTACAAGAGGCAATTTGACATAAGTTCTAATGATTAACTTATGAACCAGACTAAATCAGCATGGATTCAGAGGAAATTATGGGCATGTTTAGTGCTGCAAACCAGAAAGCTCCCAATGCCACGCTTTGTTTTCTTTCTTCAAAACTTCGTGCTTGCAAAAATAAAACAACTACTCTGCTCTGGAATAATCCTGCTGATAATTAAAACAAATTGAGAACACGGATCATCACTAATGCCAGAAAAATCCGGTTTGCAAATATTCAATGTCATGAAGAAATTATGTCAGAACTTATAAAGCATATGGCAGACAAAAGTTAGAAAAAGGAGGACAAAGAAAAGAGAAAAACAGAAAGAATTTTTAAAAATTGCATGTCGCATCAGATAAAAGAATGTTTCCACAACTAGAAAGTAATGCGATTTAGGATATTGAAGAAATTCTTGTTAGAGATGCTATTGGAAGATATATTTTCCACAAAGTGGTTTAATAATACTGCTAATTGCCAGGATATATATTATGGTAGACTTCTTAGTGTTAAAATGAAGAACAGCGCTATATATAGTTTCTTATTGGAGACTAAATGAGATTGAGGATGATAATGCTGTAGAGTATGAGATGAGCAAATATAAACTCTCTGCAGAAATCATGTGGTAATATGGTAATATCATAAAAAAATGTAATATCATAAAAAAGTGTGTGAATTGATTTTATCAATGTATATGTTATTTTGAATAATAATGTAGTTTATTTAGTTTCATTTATAAATTTCATTTACCGATGGTAATTTCTTATTTTTTTTTTTCAGTTTTATATTTTGTGAGATGATAAAAAGATTTATAATTCTTTCATTCATTATTTGCTAAAATCAGATCTAATTTCAGATAGTCGGGTTTGTTACCGACACCCAACAACAAGGGTTGACTTGGTTGCAATGTGCTATGGGGAACCAAAGCTCATTTACTATTGGACTTATGCCAATTACCTACTTCCTGAAGCGCTGTTTCTACTCAGAATAATAGACCTTTATAGATGTTAGTGTTAAGTAATTCAAATCAATCACTATAAACCGAAATCGCTATTTCTTTTTTCATTATTGTTTTTATATAACATCTATTCTATTTCAGGTAACAAACATTGAAAGATTCATTTGGTTCTATTGGTGTTTCTGTTTTAAGGACAAAATATGTTAAACATAAGAAGTTTTTTGGATTTGTTTTTAACTTAAACTTCATTTTCCGTAATTTTTATTGAGTTTGTTCAGTAATTTTAAAAATCCAATACATTTTTTCTATAATTGCAAGGTTTTAACTCGTAGCATGAAAGCTGAAAAATAGATTTTTGCTTTAACGAATGCTAATCTCTAACATGTAAACGTTAAACGGTAAGATTATTCTTATAGAATAGATTATGCAGTAATAGCAGTTACATATTAGTTTTCTAGGGCATACGGCTTCTCTATTTAAATTGATTTTGTTATGGTAACATGTGTTTATTCAGAGATCCATTTTTTTTTCAGCTGTCATTGCGTTAACTCTGTTGCGGAAGAATCGACTGTTTCTGACTTTGGATGTGCTTCGAAACTAGGCTATTTTTATAGCCACTAATATCTTAAAAACGTTACAAAGCAAATGGGAATACAATCATTTAATTTTAAATTTTTTTTTACGAAATATATTTTAAAAGAAGTAACCTTTTTTTTTTTGACGGGATGTGAATTTTAATCGATTTAAATCAAGGCTGTATACAAAAGATACACTAAAACGCTTTTCCTAATACATTTCTATATATCTTACTGAATACTAAAGTTAAGTGTTGCAGCCTGTTGATGTATAGTAAAATAATTAAAAACGTTTTATTAAAGTTCTTTTATTATTAGTTCCAACTGGATGAAATCGTGTGACTTGCTTAATAATAATAGCACGTTGATCGAAAACAAACCTTGTATGCCTCTAAAACTGTTTGCTATTATTTTAGTCACGTGGTTTTCCGACTTGATCCATAAGTCATTATCATTGCGAAAAATATGTATAAATATAGAGACTATTAAATTTTTTAATTGTCTTTATATTTAAGTACACTTTTTATAGTTTATTAAAAGTTATACTTATATAATAACACAGCAAGTAGAATACGCCTTTTAATATAAAAATCTATATTTATAAAATAATGTATATAAAAAATAGCGCGTATATATGCACTAATTTTGTAATATATATAATATTTTACATGTTTTTGTTAAAAAAAAATTTATTCATCATTAAAAATAATTTATTTATTTAAGTACGCAATATTATTTATTTTTTGTTAAAGTTGCGTTGAATTAAAATTTAAAGAAAACAAAATAATGTGCAATTTAACAACAGAATTTACATTTTTTTTTAAGCAATCCTTATAAAGAAGTTTTGTTACTTAAAGTGGCATAACTTTTTGTATAATTTTTCGTTTTTTATGAAGTTTTCACCATTGTAATACTAATTTAAAGCTCTTTTTAATGATATATAATATTTATATTTAAAAATAATTTGAAATTTTTACACACGTACTTAAAATATTGAAAAATATACTGCCGTAGAAACATATGACTTTCCAACATGCCATCAGACTCATATATATATTAAGTTAATCTGGTGATTATAAAAATATTTTTGGAAACCTTATACCAATTTTGATAATAAAGCACAGGGCAAGCACGATTCATGAGAAAAAGTGACAAATTTGCTACAGGACATACAATAAATGTATTACTACAAGGCATATAATTGATATAGCGTTTCCTTGATAAAGTAAAGAGCAATAGTGCTAACACAAGCTTGAGTATAATTTATAAAAATCAAATGCTATGATTGAGATCAAATGTATTTATCAATGGCATAAAGGAGCAACATTTCACGATGATAATGCAATGATTTTTTCTTAAACATTAACTGAATTTGATAAACCCCTATATTAAGGTTTGATAAACCCCTATTTAATATATCAATTTTTTGGGGCATGATGGTATTATTAAAATTAAAGTTGTCTATTGTAATGAGAGAAGCAATAATGAGTACTTTCGTAGCTACCTAAAAGAGAAAGTTTGTTTAATAAACATAAATCTATTGTGGATGAATCAAACGCTAAACATGAGAACATTCATTAATTTTCTCCTTACTTGTAAAGGTGCCAGTTACTGGAGCATAACTATAAGTTTACTTAGGTGTTCTTTGCTTACTATTTGTGTGCAAAAGTCCTGAATTAGCTGGAGATTGATGTATTGTCTACTGAATGGTGGAATCACACACAAAAAAAGGGGGAAACTGAGTACTTAAATCAAAACATAATAGCCCTGCCCACAAAAGCCATTACCTGAATGTCTTTGTTGACTCTTTGCCGATGGTCTAGAGATTCTGCAATTAAATTAACTTTAGAGTTGGAAAAAGCGAGATGACGTGAATGAACGTGTTGTATTTAAAATGATTCTCTTATCACAAAGCGTTTAAAGATCAACTACATTTTCTATTAGATAATTATTTTTAATGCATCAACAATGCATTTTTTTATCGTTTCTTGTATTTTAATTGATACTGGTCAAATTTCTGCTTTAGCAGAGCAAGTAAACAGCAATTTTCTTGGAGCTCTAAAACACTTTCAAATCACTTTTGTTCTTTACTTTGTGCACTTCAATTTCAACTAAAAAAAAGCTAGATAGTAGATGAAAGCTTAATAGAAAAGATTTCACAATGAACCTGCAAATGCAGGATTCTGTTATGAGCGCCCCGTGCAACCATATCAGGTAAGTATCTTTAACGTTGCTTTTGATTATTTTATGTCAAAAATTTAGTCAAGATTTGACTATGTAAACGCTTTTTCTTTAAGATCCTTATTCAACTGGTTGAAAAATTTGAATTCAGATTCTTTAGAGATAAAAGCTCGTGAATTAGTGCAAGTCTACGCTAATAATGTCAATGAAGACAACTTTACGGAAGAAATTATATCTAAATCTTTTAAAGGAGTCTTCACTTTTTTCTGTTGGAAACTTCTTTAGCCTTCTTAATCATATACCTTCACCGGGTCTACAGCCTATTTTCTCATCTCTATGCATCTTTTAAAAAAAAAATCATTATAAAAGAGTTTGCAATCAAACAAATGATAAGCTTATACTTTTTAAAATGCAAACATGCCTAAAGGGGCGCCTACTTAATGCTTTGCCCTAGGCGCTATGAAGACTCTTAGTGGTCCTGTTTACTACAGAGGCAGCCAGAATTTTTTTACGTATAAAAAGTCTATTTGTTGGATAAAATGCCAAATAAAATCTGGCTACGTCTGCGGTAACATGATTCAATCCGTTCATCTTTGCAGACTAAATTTACTAACAAAAAAACCTTTTTTTTGATTTTCTTGGTTTTTATTTAATAAAATATATCATTAAATCGCGACGATAACATCAGAATAACAGCAGTAGAAAATTTGATTTCTAACCTGTACAATCGTTCGCAAATAACTGGATAAAAAATTATATAGCAATTTTAACAACTATTTTAAATTGAGAAAAAATAAGAAACAAAATTCGTGGAATAACAACTTTTTGGCCAAAAGTTAAACTAGAGTTGAAGGAAGAGTTAAACTAAAATTTAAGAGAGAGTTAAAGTTGAAGTTTAGCAAAAATAATTTCGTTTAATTAGATCAAAAACTTATAATAACCTTCCTAAAGAAATTAGGAAAAATTTTTTTTCTTTCTAATGGGTAATTTATAAAGGACGTCAAGTCAAATTTAACTAATGACAAGAAGTCAGAGAATGTTGGCTCTCGTGCGCAGAGATTTTTAGAGTACGGGAATTCGTCACGGAGCGAATTCGTCACTTATACGACTCAGCTTTAACATAATAATGCATAAAAACTAAAAAATCTATTTACTAGTTTTTTTTAAAACTTTTTCAACTGATTTGCAGAATATTATTAAATAAGTGTTTTATTTATTTTCCTTTGATTATTCTTTAAATATTGCGAGTAAACATCGAAGTTGAAAAAAAAAAATTTATGGTTAAATGCTTATCGTCAAAAAAAAAATCAAAATACGAAATGTTTTGATCACAAAGTATATATTTTTCGATAGATCGATGTCAATATTTTTAAAATAACAATTTCAGTTGCTATGTTTTTTCTTTCGGAATCGTCACGTAATGATTGTTATCACATTCTCACATGAAGGGCAACTTCGTCGTTAAAGAAAAGATAATACTTTAGATAAATTAGGTTCTCTAATCATGAAAACATTCAAACTATGAAGCCGTTTGAAAGAAAGTAAAGTTGTGCTAAAAAGTTTCTTCAAAGCTTCAGATTTTATCTATAAGAAGCTTTTCAGAATATATTAGTTTACTGTTAGTTTTTAAAACTTTTATCAGTACCAGGTGGTTTTGTGTAAAGGACTAAAGGTACAAAAGTTAACTATTGGTGAACGTGACACACTAATAACATACCTGGCCACTGTCAATGCAGCAGGGGACAGTTGACCAGCGTCTTTTCATATTTAAAGGAACAAAGATTCCAGATGCATCTTAATTTCTTTTGGGTACAAAAGTACATTGAGTAAAAGCGGATATATTGATTAAAAAATGTTTATTGAATTTTTTTACATCATTTTGATGAGTTTCTTACTAAAGTGGATGGGAAAAAAGTACTGTTTTTTTGAATGATTAAGTTTTGAGGCAATTTAATTAGCAATAGAAATGGATATTGAAATAATACGCATTCCACCTTATAGTACAAATCGCCTTCAACCACTTGACACACATATTAATAAAGTAGTTAAACATATGTGGTCTTAGGCCTTGTCTAATTGCTTAGCTGAAAGTGATAATATTTCTATGCCTCGTTGAAACTTTTACATTATTTTTAACAAAATATTGCAATTTTCATGTTATTGTTAACAAATTATGACCCAACATATTTACAAAAAGAGGATTGATTGTTAATGCGTTTTACTATTGCGGTTTGCATTCCCTATGCTCTATTTACATCACATGGGGGTTTATTGTTCTACATTACGAAAATCATCCTACTATTACTCCAAATATAATGCCTTATATCAAAGTTTTTTTTTCTCCTAGGTAAGGTGTCTTTACAACTAGTAAGGAATTTTGTCCATCGCCAAGTGACGTTTTTTTCAATTAGTTTAGTTGTAATGACAAATTCGCCCCGCAATTGAGGAATTCGCACCTCATGACATGAAAAAATTCTACGCTAAAGTAACTATAGAAGTTATTTTGATTCAATACATTAACAAAGTAGAGACCCTAATTAATATAAAAATAATTTAACAATAAAAGTTTACTTATTTATATGCAATCTCATTTTGTCAAAGTAAAACATGACGAACTCACCCCGCCATACCCTATTATAGCGCCTTATGTTCATTAAAAATCTTCGCTGAATGGAGCCAATAAACTTCTACTTCTGGTTAGTATTTAAATCCTGAATGACGTCTTTTATGGACGACACCTAAGTTAGTTTTTAAACTTTTATTTTAGTATTTATATTGTATACATGTAACTTTTATTTTTTTTCAATTTTTGATATCAGGACACATGTTAATAACAGTTTTTACTGAAATGTTAATCCTGTATAAATATTTGTTTATTAAAATAATAATAAATAATATAAATTAGGTTGAAAATATGTAAGTAAAATGCAGAAGCTTGTTTTTTATCATG